GGGTGACAATGAAGTTCCGAGAGGCGTCGCCCCCGGTACCAGCGGGTTTAGCCTGGGGGCCGGCGCCGCCCCGACGAACCCGAAGGCGGGCCGGAGGATTGTGAAGGGCCGTAGGCAGAAACCCCGGCGGTAGGCAGAAACCCCGGCGGGGATGATTCGAGTCTCGCTAGGGGAAAAAGCAAGGGGTAGGCTACTGCGTGAGACGGGATGGTTCTGGTTTTGGGCCCGGCCTCGAGCTGCTGTGTTCTGCCAAAGGGAGGCTCTCTCGGTCTCCTTTTTTTTTTTTTTCTCCTACAAGCCGCTCGGACACCTTTTTTGCATGGGCCGTAATCAAGAGAGGTGATATTCAAGCCCAGCAGCACGGCTACTGTGTTTTGCTCCCGTTTGTCCTGGAAGTCGGTTTTACGCCTTTCGGCTTGTTTGGACGCACCAACCGAGGTCATACCAGTCGGATGCAACATCCATTTTTTTTTTTCTTGTCTTCTTCCGCAGCCTTTCCTTTTGGGGTTAAGCTCCCGGTGATCCCGAATGAATCCAGAGCTACGAGGGCGTTGCGTGGCGTAGAGGACGGCAGTGCCGCCGACAGAGAGCACGGTATTTGACGACTACAATTTGTTTTTTTGGAAGTGTCGACGGCGGTCGGGGGTAGGCTGGCTGGCTGTCTCGTCTTGTCTTTTTTATTTCCGGTGTGCCTTGCTGCCCGCGGCCTACAGAGGCATCGGGATCCCCGGGGTCGCCAACATCACGCCATCGGGTGGTAGGTGGGGTTTGGTGTGCCTGTGTTTGCCGCTGGCTGTGGATGATCGTCGCCTTGGAGGTTGTTAACGGTCTAAGAGCAGTAGATGCACCAGTTACTGCTTACGTGAGCTCCGGTGGCTTTCAAGGTGATGGAGGGCAAGTGTCGCGTAGTAATTAGTACGGTTGCGTGGGTGGGATAAAGTTTTTTTTTTTTTGGCGGAAGTTGGATGCCCGACCTGTTTTGAATTGCGGCTCGTGTTCAAGCAGATGCGAGAATGTGTCCGCGGGGATTCTGCTGGCAAAGAAGTAAAAGCGGACAATGACAAGGCAAGTAGACCGAATAGGGAGGTGGGGGTTGGGCTTCTACCGTACGCAAGGCGTGCTGGAACCGGGGGCAAGCGGGCAGCTTTTTTTACTTGTTCGGGCGCAGTTTCTAGATGTCTGCGGCACTCAACGCGACGTGGATAGGCACAATGCTGGGTGGGGCAGGCAGTCGATAGTAGGCTGTCGCGCTTGGACTGGAACACAAATCGATTTCGGGTGCAATACGGGTGGGCGGGGAGGGGGCCGGGGGTGATGCTCCAGCAAAGGATTGGCTAGGAAGTGCGACATGTCAGTGGAGAGAGGGTCGAGCGTTTGTGTTTGGGTCCAGATTTGCTACTACTCGGTGACCTAAAGGTGCCAATCTCCTTTTAAAAAAAATTGGCCAATCAGAAAACTGCGGGCACCTTTCTCTCTCTCTAGGAGAGTTTGTACCATGATCTTTATTTTTTGTAAGCATGCGTGCGCATGAACCTTCGTGTATAAGTATAAAACGGCTCGCAAGCCGCAGTCTTGGCATAAAGGACTAACGCAAGGCGACTACGTCATTTTGTCTCTGCATTTGGGTGAAACAGAGTTGTCCAGGTTGTTACTCAGTTCCACAACACGCAAGCGCGTCATGCTCGGAAAACAGACCACACTAGTCTGCCAGTCACGGGTACAGCGAACAAACTTTGGCGTCGTAACCCTTGCCGCCACTCCAAGTGGGGCGAGAGCACGAGGTAAAGATACCAAAACAGGATATCTATCTATCCCCGCCGAAGTTGGGGCAGTTAAGGACGGCCTTCGGCGGCAACATGCGCGGTCCTCTTCCTGGCTTTCATCTACACTACTACGCTGTATCGACAAAGAACACCACAAATTTCCTTTAGCACACAAAAGACACGGGGACACATAAGCTCGACTAAGTCCTCGAACGGGGCATTAGCCGGACAAACACACACAAAAAAGCGACCACGATGGTGTCGCCGCTCACACCACACACAACCCAAACCAATCTCGTAAAACAACACCAAACCATGCGCGCACGTTAACAAAAACCGAAACCAGACGTGACTCTCCCTGAGGTTGCATTCAACAACCCCTTTCGCCCACCACCGCGTTGTAAAATCTCGTGTAGTCTTCGGCCGACATCTTCGCAATGTCCTCTTCCGTGAGCGCCTCTATCGGAACGAACCGGACGCCGACCCGGAATCTCTGTCCCGCTCCAACCCCCGCCGACAGCCCAAGCAACCTGGCTGATGATCTCGCCTGTGGGGCCCCTTTCCTTCCACCCCCGCCGTTTTTTGTAGGACAATCTTCATCGTCGCTTTCCCACCAAGTATCGTCCCCGTTGCCGCCGGCCGCGGCGTCGGCGGCCTCTTGCTCCTCCCGCCGCATCTCCGACTGCTGCCGACGCCAGACCTGCTTCATCCTCTCTGTCCACGGCCGTAGCCTCTTCTTCATCTCGTCCCGCTCCGCCACGCTGGTCACCGCCGCCACCCCGAGCCGTCGCGCGTGCTGCAGCGCCGCCGCCGCCGCCGCCTTAGCCTTAGCGTCGTCCTTGGATGACTCGGAATCATCATCATCGCTATCGGCCGTGTCGTCATTGTTGTTGCCGGAAATGACGCTCCCCTTGAGGAAGGTCGGGAGGGCCTTCTTGGCGCGCTTGGCGGCCTCCTCCTCCTTCGCGGCCGCGTCCGCGGCCTTGCGCTTAAGCGCCGCTCGGGACGGCAGCAGCAAGCCTCCCCCCCCCCCGGCTCCGTTTCCGTCCTCTTCCTCGCCGCCCTCGGCGTCCCAGTCTTCATCGCCGTCGTCTTCGTCCTCGCTCTGCTCTATTTCCACCACCACCTCTTCCCCTCGCCAGTTCTTTGTGTAAAGCACCTGGACAGGCCTGTTAATTGACATGGGCGTTGCGGAACGCAAGCAAGCACTAAGGAGGTGCTCGACTGTGAACCCCTGAAACGAACTCGAGGTGAACAGACACGCGCACGGGCCCGCATACAGAAAGGAATACCTACGAAAGAATGTAAGGTTTTTACGAAAAAAAGACCAGGGGGGGGCACGCAGACCATAACCCTAACCCTAACCCTAACCCTAACTTAGCCGATTCTATACGTTATCCAGTATATTTGCTCACCTAGAAAAACCTACGTGGACTACTGTACAGAAACGGCTCCCGATTCTAGCCGCACTGAAACTGACGCCATTACATTCGTCACTTTTCGTTGGACAGCCGGTTAGCGGGGTCGGTGTTAAAAGTGAAGGGAAACACACGCACACACACACCCTTTTTGACTAGCAAAGCATGTTCCCGTTTGTTATCCCGCTACAAGACTCGCCAGCCGGCAAGCGCGGTCGATGCGACGCCAAAAAACTGAAAAAAACTCACACAGTATTTTCAGTGGTCAGCCGGCTAGCGCGGTCGATGTTACTTGTCGCAGAAAACACACGCACACACACCTCTTGGATTAGCGAGAATGTTTGCGTTTTTGTATCATCCCGCTATGTAGCGCGGTCGATGCTAGCAAAAAAATCTTTTCTTAGATAGAGATGGATTCGTTGGGTCATACCAAGAAAACCCCCCCAAAAAACACAATGAACAAACACACAAATCACTCTTCGTTCACCTGGAAGAAGCACGGCCGCCCGCCGCGCCCCGCTCGGCCGCCGCCTTGTCCGCCGCCCTCCCTCGGTGGTGGAAGTCGTCCTGGAACCTCGCGTGCGCGCTCGACACGTCCCCCCGCTGCTGCCCCCCCATCCCCCTCTGCCTCAGCTGGCTCGGCAGGTTGCTCGGCACCACGATGTCTCGCAGGGAGTGCACGAGCTCGAAGATGCTCTCTCGTGGTACGTTTCTGTGTTGGCGCGTTGGGGGTCGATTTTTGGAGGGGGGTGAGGGACGCTGCGGCAGAGATGGAGGTTGTTGAATCGACGAAGGAATGCTATTATACACGTAGAGAACGCATCTCGCGGGAGAGAAAGCGCTACCATGGTGAGGGAGGAGTATATATGTAGAGGGACGGAACCAGGAGGACAGGGACAGAGACGAGGACAAAAGTCTAATCTAGCAACGAGGCCTACTTACCGCATGCCGCCTGACCTGAAAGAACGCAGAAGCAAGCACGTCAAAAAAGGCACACGGGTACATCCGCCCCCCCCCCCCCCCCCCCGCGGGGGAAGTCCACTCCCGGAACGGGCGATTTCCCCCGCTGGTCGTTGAGCTGGGCCATCAACGCGGGTACCCAGTCCAGCCCCCTTTTGGCCTTTAAATCCCCCCGGGGGGAACCCCCGCCCCTTTTGGCCCCCCTGTGGGCCTCCTTAGGGGAGCAGTGGGTGGCGCAAAAAGACCTGGCCCCCTTGGAGAACTTGGAAAAGTCCCTCCCCTCCAAATTTTCCTGGCACCTCCGGGACACGTACCTTTGTGCCCCCCCCCCCCCAACCAAAAAAAACGAAAACCAAAACCGGGTAAAGGGGGAAGGCCAAGGGTATTTCCGTGACTCTTTTCTTTCCCTCGACAGAACTGCTTTCAAAAGTTGGGCGTGGGCTGGGTGCAGTCAACATTGGTGGGGCGCGTCAAAACGTTGTTTCAGAACTACAGAATATGGCCGAACAACAACGTTTGAATGGAAGAACAAAAACCGGGGTGGGGGGTGGCGGCTCGTTTGTTAGAACTCTGTTGGCTGAAAAGGGGCTGGCGTGTTACATACTCTCTCCCGCCAAACGGGGTCTACCGCCATGGCAGCGAGAGAGAAAAAACCAAACGTAAGAGCCTCTGTGCATTCGAGAGGGGGGTAAACGTGTCAAGCAACACACAGACCGACCGCACGAGACGGTCAGGCACAATTTGTTGGTATTCTAAAGAAACGCCAAAATAAGGGGGGGGGGGGGGGCTTCGCGCCACCTGCGGCGAAAGTCAGGTATGCCGCGCACACCACGGCCCTACGAATCCGCTTTCACGGGAACATTTTTCTCGTGAGCAAGAGTGCTACAACTATCACAGGGTCCGCACTGCACTAGATTTCCAGGCTGGTTTTTATCACGTGCCTGGTGGGCGGCTTTCGCCTCCTGCCGCTGGCTGAGGATCTCCTTCATCTGGAACACGCGGAGGAGGATCACGTTCACGGCGTGCCTCAGGTCGATGTACCAGTAGTTGCTGCTCCGACCCGAGTAGATCTCGTCCGACATCATTTCCTTCGCAGCAGCAACAGCACCAGTTTGCAGCGGCGGCGGAGGCGGGTAGTCAGCGGGCGTGTGCGGCACAGCGGCGCGTTTGCGAGGGAGAAAGGCGGACAGCAATGGAGGATACTGGTTTTGTGTTGTTCGGCATTCTCCAGGTTGCTGATGCAATATTGACGCGCGAGTTTTCCTTGGGCGAGAAGCTCGACCATACCCTATTAGATAAGCTACCCCGATGTTAAGAAAACCTTGCGAGCACCCCTCCTCCGCCTACAGGTTGTATCGGCTGCCCTGGCTACCTTATCTGTCCTACGTTTCGGCTTCAGCCCGAACCAAGAATTCGACGGTTCCTCGTATCTACCTTTGCAGCGAAGCCCTCGGCGAGGAGCTCGGCGAGTGCGGAGCGGACCTGCTTGGGCTGCAGGTTGAGCCGGCTGCCCAGCTCCTCATCCTTGTCCTTGATGTACCTTGGAGCACGCACATTGAGAGGGAATGCACACGCAATGACGGATAAATCGACAAACACACGGCAGAACGGGGTTAAAACGGAGCACCTCATTTAACCATACGGTATACTCCTGCTGTAGAAGCACATTGTTGCCAAAAATAGGGGCCAAAAGCATCTGGATTTTGATCTCCAAGAGATCACACCTAACCGAACAAGACGGGAACCCTCCACCCCCAACCCCCCCCGCATAACAGCGCATATCGAGGTTTTCCCACGGAGGGTAGCGCCTGTTGGTGGGCGTGTGCCTGGTGCGCACTGCCATCCAACAGCAGCAGGTAGATAGCGTTGGTAGGCACACGAGTTGCACTTTACCAAGCCGCGGGCAATGCCGACGCCTGCAACACGTGCGCGCTCTACACCGCACTATATTTTTACACCCTGAAAAAAAACATCTTCAACGTAGATGATCCAACAGCAACTCGAATTGGAGTACTGCGTCGGTGGGATATATGCCGGGCATGGATGCGCAACGTGGGGAGTGGGGAAGAAAAGTACGTGGGGAGAAAGTACACTGACCAGCGGCGTCATAGCACGGCGCGGGCGGGTACGGGTGCTATCTCTACTTGTCCGCGACTGGTGGGGTACGTGAGCAGGATGCAAGGCAATGCTGATGCAACCCTAGTTATTGATAGGGTTGTGGCGCAGCAGGGACTCCTGATTATTTGTGTAGCCTTGGAGAGCTGCCCCAGTGCGAAGCGCGGCAACAGGCAACATGCGGACATTCTCTTGCCCGCTCAAGAGCTGCTGTCAGTATTTTTGTGTACGTGTGTACACGAGCAAACCAGCATGCAGTACTTCCAGACTGCCCGTCGAAAAAATTCCCCATCGTCTTGGACGATGGGCAGCCGTAAACGCAACATGGACTGCTAACGATGTGCCTAGGGTATGCTTATTCCCGGTATATACCCACAGGGGTAGCGACGTAGCGACATCCGGCGCAAGGGCAAAGCAAGTACCGTCAGCAGTCAAGTCTCTTTCGCAGGGCAAAAGAGCACCTCACTTTTCTCTGATAAGAGTGTCGACAACGAGGACGGTGATGTCGGTGTAGAAGGCCCGTGCAATGGTAGACACTAGGCGCTCCGCCTTCTGGAGAGCCACGATCGCATTCATGTCCGCCATCACGACGCACGGTCGTCGCGAGGAAGACACGACAGAGTTGTGACTGCGAGGGGGCTTCCCAAAAGGAAGGCAATTGGGGCCCAACAGAAAAACTAAAAAACGTAGGGTATGTGTAATTCCCAGTGGCGGTTCCCCCGCCAGTGCGCTGTGCGCTGCCGCTCTGTGGTCCTTGGTTCACTCTCTCTTTTGTTCTGCATAAGCGGGTACCCTTAGCAACCATGCCGGCCGCTGTCAGCAAGGAGAGCAAGCCCATCATCCCTGAGTCGGTGCTCAAGAAGCGCCGCACGAAGGAGGCCATCGCCGCCAAGCAGGCCGCCAAGCAGGAGGCCGACCAGAAGGTACGATGATTTTTCCCTTGGCCTCACCGCAGTAATCGAGTGGTGTGTGGCGACACCCCGAGGTGTCCTCATCTTCTCTCCCTCTCGGCTGGGAGCATGAAGGAGGAGGGCGCTGCCTAGCGCGCGGGTTCTACACCATCTTCTTGCAACAGGAGCACCACACCCTCTACCCTTGCCTTTGCCCGCGCTGCTGGTTTAAATCCCTCCGTGGTCTAACCAGCGCGCGGGCTGCTGCTGCTGCGTCCGGCGGTGGACTGCAGGGCAGCGCTATGTTGCAGCGTATGTAGTCCCGACTCTCCATCGAGCGCAGCTAGAAGATCAGCTTTGGTGCGCTTGTGCAGTCTCCCTGTCACGAGGTTTAAATTTCCCTGCGTGGTCTAACCCGGACATCGAAACACATACTTGCACACCACAAGAAGCGTAGATAGGGCCATATGGTAGATTTCGCGTCCCGATCCAGAATCGGATGGCTCCTGTAGGGCGACATCTTTGGCATCCAACAAGAGTCTCTTGCCCGAACGGTTTAAATTCCCTCCGTGGTCTAACCCGAGGGTGAGAGACGCGGCAGCCTCGTGTGGCTGCACCCCTACCGCGCGGTGAAAATGGGGAGATGTTAGGTGTGTGCATAATATCTTTGCTCCTTGACTATGGTCACCCGAACAAACGCTCTCCTGTGTAGACTATGTTGTCTATGTATGTAATATGTGTGCATGTCTACTGCTGTAGGACGTTGTCGACAGCTGTTATGCAGGTGTCCATGTGCCCATCCTTTTGTTGAGTAGTCTAAATGTGATGATGCTGCCGGTCTGTTATTGGGGCCAAGCGACCAGGGATTCCCCGCCCTCGTGTTGGTGGATGGCAGTAGCTGCTGCTCGGCGTCGGCAAGCACAAACAATCCGGTATCTCGTAGCACACATTTTGGGTTGCAGGTCTTCAAACGCTCTCTAAAGCCTAGGTACATGACAGCAGGGGGCCTTTCTCGAACTGGTTGTTTGCTGTCACAGCCGTTGGTTTTTGAAGAAGGCGATTCTCCTTCGCAAAGATGGAAGCTACGGTTTTGCGTAGCGTATGTTCCTCTCGCGAAACTGGTAATGCCGAGCAGGGTGGCACGCAGTGGACACCATTAAGACAGCCCCGAACCATCTTGATCGTTGCCGTACGTACCACATGATTTTCTCATGTGGCTTCAACTGGTAATGCCGAGCAGGGTGGCACGCATAAGACAGCCCAACCATCTTGATCGTTGCCGTACGTACATGATTTTCTCATGGCTTCGCCTGCCGTCGTTTTTTTGTGCCATCAACTCGTTTCTCGCTGTCGGGATGAAAAACAAACAACACAGGCGGCTGCCGCCAAGAAGACCGAGATCTTCGAGCGTGCCGAGCGCTACGTCAAGGAATACCGCGCCCAGGAGAACGACTCCATCCGCTTCCGCCGCGAGGCCAAGGCGGCGGGCAACATCCACGTCCCGGCTGAGGTGTGTGCAACTAACACTTGCTGCGTTCGTTCAGGCTAGTCTTTAACGATTGATGAGCTTTACAGCAGTCTTGACAACACTCTCTGTGCGCTACGATGCAGGTTACACCCTCTGCTTCTCTGGATAGCTTTTTGTGTGCATGGTGCACGCCACGCCCCGGCCGTCTCAGTCGAGGTCCAGACGACCTCGCTTGTGCACCCGTGTCGTATCGTACTCTGTAATCGGTTTTGGCTTTTCCGCTTCAAGCCATGGACGATTTATCCTTTCGTCTGGTTACTTGCCCTAAAAATATCTAGAACATGACCAATTTCAAGATGTGGGCATCTTGTGCAGGCTGTTAGACTACGCTCATGCAGCTGCAAACTCGCGTGCGACACCTGTTGCAGTCGTCTCACGCCGTCCTCCGGTGTTGGGAATCAAATAATTGTTAACTCGCTTGCGTTTCTTACTTTCTCCTGGCGGGATGAATTCTGTCTTCTGGAAGTAGACCACGCAACGAACCAGTAGCGATTGTGTGTATACATCCCCGTCTTTGCCTCTCATCTCCTCGAACCCCGCCTTCCTGCTCACTTTTTTTTCTTCTTGTCTTCCGTTCTTTTTTTGATTTCAGGCCGGTGTGGTGATCGTCGTCCGCATCCGCGGTATCATCGGCGTGTCCCCCAAGGTGCGCAAGATCCTGCAGCTCCTCCGCCTGCGCCAGATCAACAACTCGGTCTTCGTCAAGCTTAACGCCGCGACCGTCAAGATGCTGCGCCTCGTGGAGCCCTACGTGGCGTACGGGTACCCCAACCTGAAGACGGTCCGCGAGCTTATCTACAAGCGCGGGTTCGGAAAGGTGTGTGAAGGAGTAACAAGCAACAAGAAGGGGCGTCTCAAATGTGTTTTGTTAGAATATATTTACAATGATAGCAAGACTACAATACCCGTTGAAGAGAACACTACAGCAGTCGAAGCATTCAACGCACGACGTGTAGTGTCGTTGCTGCGCGTGCCGTTTGTTAAGTGATGAATTCGATCTGGTGTCCTGTTCGTAGTATGGATTCAAGGCGCCAGGTGCCAAAGGACACGCCGATTGATGTGTGATGTTACATACGCGGGCCACCTCATGCTCAGGCGTCTCTCCCGATCTCTTTGCCGCAGGTGAACAAGCAGCGCATCCCCATCTCGGACAACTCCGTGATCGAGGGAACCCTCGGCAAGGCCGGCATCATCTGCGTGGAGGACCTGATCCACGAGATCTACACCGTGGGCCCCAACTTCAAGGCGGCCAACAACTTCCTGTGGCCCTTCAAGCTCTCCAACCCTAACGGCGGCTTCCGCCAGAAGCTCCTCCACTTCAACGAGGGCGGGGACGCGGGGCAGCGCGGCGCCAAGATCAACGCCCTCATCAAGCGCATGCTCTAATTTTTTGGAGACGGTTTTGCTGCTGCTGTGGCCGCTACTGTGCTGGTTGTTGACTGCCTTGGACGGAGGGCTGTTGGGGGTCCTGTTGGCGGTTTTTATTACCCGCCGTAGCTTGGTGTTGCACGAGCTTGTTGAAGAGTGCAGGGAACCGGGGGGATTCCAAGGGGGCGATGTTTTCGTCGTTTGACCTTGTTAGGAGCCCCGGCTTTCCTGGTGCTGCTTTTTGTTGGCGCGTTTGCTCTGGCACTTTGGTGCAAACCCTGCACACCGTTTGTGTGACGCATGAACGAAGATAAAAGAGAGATGAAAATTAACAAAAATGTTGCGTGCGCTCGCGCGCGCGCGGGGCGGGCATGGCAGTGAGAGGGCATCGTTTTGTGTGTTCTCCCCTCTTACCCATGTCTGAGCTCTTTGGCAATGAGGGCAGCAGCGGAATGGTTCCGTTATTTTGTCCTCGCGAACCGTTGTTGTCCCAATCCCCAACCCGAGCGTGCATCTCCATCCGAGCACGAAGCACTGCGGGTGGTCAAGCTCGCTGATTGCGCTTGCTTCCCATGTTGCCTTTTTGTGCTGGGAAACGAACCCACCGCATGATGAGCTTCTCGGCACGTTGAATTTTTGGGAGAGAGGCGAGATTTTACACCAACATTCGCCCAAATCAAGAGAGAGGACGAAACGTACGTGTATTCTCCTTCCACCACACATCTGGAACGATTTATCCCCGAACACTTGCCAGTGCACCGACGTTAGTCTTGGTTGCTTATTCATGCTGGGGAGCGTGCGAAGAGTCGCAATGAACAAAAACAGACCTTGACCCTCCCTCCTTCACGAGAGGGCCTCTTGCTGTCACGTGACGGGTTGGAATTTTTAGACGGGAACGACAAATGACCAACGCTCGAACATGCCTTCTCATGAAGCAACATTAGGTTTGGACGAACGGCCGTCAAGCGACCGCTGGTTGACTGGAACATTCGGACGATAACCCCCATGCAAATATGGAGTACAGCTTGTTTGCGGTTGGTACATGAAACGCAAAAAAACTCGACACCTTTCTGCTTGACACACACGTGTTGTGACGTGGGTCCATTTACCAGGAGGATGACTTCCAGTTCCGAAAGTGGACGAAGGCGGGTATATTTTGGCATTTGAGATCAATATGAGCCCTGAAAACAAACAAAAATGAGGCAAACAAACATACACGTTCCTACATATTTCCCAACAAAACAGACTGACCAGGCACCGCGTTGGTCGAAGGCGTGCTTGTGCGTGCGGCGGCATCTGCTGGAGATGGACCGTTTCACAACGAGACGCAAAAAAAAAAAGTCTTCATCGCCGACGCGCCGACATCGCTTCCCCCGACTTGCATTCACACCAGAGTCCACTGGCCAGTTTCCACGCTTGTCGAAGCACTCGTCAAGCAGAACCGCAGTGGATTGCAGTCAGCGCCAACGCGTCCGCGTTGCGCACAGGTTGCGAAGGTGAGAGCGCCTGTCTTCGGTGTTGTATGCTTGTCGGCCGAAAGTTTCGCTAACATGTGGAGATGAACTCAAACCTCCGGGAGTCAATCACGGAAGAGGCTACAGCGGTGGTAGCAGCAGCGGCTGTGGACAGCTCACAAACAGTCGCCCCATCGCGTGTTCGTTGCAGTTCTCAACTGGCCAGCCAACGAGCACTGAGATGCACCCCACGTTTGGTTTTCCCGCAGTGCGATGCTTGCTACGGGTCGGTGCAGACTCTGACAATGCAAGGCAGAAAAAAGATCGTCTCTACTGCTTACTACTACAAAGGATGTAATACAAGAGTCGGAGCAACCGTGCCGCGTTCATCTCCTCCGGCCGTGCGAGTAGTTGAGGGAGGGATGTTTACAATCTAAATCGAAGTCTAAGGGCATGGAGTGTCGAAGTGTACGTTCATGCGTGTACAGATCTACCACAGCGATCTACTACTGTGCAGGGCACGAATCTGGGATCGAGAGCGGGTGCATCACTGCCGTACATGCCCGAAAAACGAAAGCCGCGCCATCGCCACCACCGAGGAAAGACTAAGATTTCGACCGACCTTGTACGTGCGACATCATTGAGAGACACCAAATAAGACAACGCGAGCTGCACACACTACGCACAGCCAAGCAGAGCTCGTATCCCGGGGTATCTCTGGTGATGTCCTCGACGTGTATTATTTTCAAGTCCTGTAAGTAACCGAAAAGACGGTAAGTTTTTAGATCCGCCGCGCTCATACAAGAGGCAAGGGATATGGCGAAAATTCACGCGCTTCGTCCTGCCCACGAACACCAACAGGACTCCAATACAGCAGCGGTCGGAGACGTGTCAAAGGTTGTCCATCGCGGGCGACAGTATTAACTTCCTCCACTAGCGTGGTGCAGAGACACACCCACCCCTCCTATTCCATGTTGCGAAGGGCTGAAAATAGGATGTTCTCCCTACCCGACCACCAAATGTTCTCCCCATCGCTCCCCCCTCGATACTCTGCAAATTCCGCAGAAGAAATGCACAGGCGTGGTGCGGGCAATGCTGCCCGTTGTGCTGCCATGCAACGTCGACCTCCTATCAATCACCACGAATTCGGCAGGGGCTCTTTTGTTTCCTTGCATGTTCCGTCACGCACAGCAGTATTGGAACTTTTCCCCCATATATTTCAGGTTACCCCGCCAAACCCACCCAACCCCAAGTATTATTTGTCCCGAAAGAGGATCCTCTGTTCTCCCACTGCTACCGTTCACAAGTGCTCGACGTAGTTTCTTATATGGTACTTCATTCAACAAATAAGACCAATCAGCCACGCACCTTCCTCCTTCGCCGCCATACCCTGTTTCCACAGGGTGCGTTTTACAGACCAAGGAAAGAAGAAACATCACGTCGTCATGGCGGAGGAGACGAAGATGTGCGAGCCGTGGGGGGAGAAGGAGCGACGCGAGGGCTTGGACTGGCCGTCGGCCATAAGCCCGCGGGCAGAAGAAGTTCTAGCATGCATGCAGTCCGAGCAGTGGCGAGACCTCATCGGGGACTATGAAGAGGCTCACAACCTGCGACTGCCCAAGGTATATTGTGAACACCATCTTGTACTCCACTTATGTCGGGTATTGTGGGGGGCATGTTCCCTCCGTGCGACCTTTTGTACAGTCTGTGTCGTGAACGGCTCCGAACGGCCTGACTGTTCTGTCTTGGAAGAAATTTGCCTGCTGCCCATGAAGATAAGGTTGGTCTACCAAAGTGCGAATGATGATGTATTGGGCGAACGCCTTTTGAATCCCTGTCAGACGTCGAAAAAACACCGAAACAGCCACCATGAATGAAAGCTAACCGCGTGGCATGGCCGACCTGGTGTTCAGAAATGTTCGTGTAATGGTCGATATATGACGTGGGAATCCCCTAAACATGAACCGCCCGAATGAGTGACCTTTTCACGACCGCCATTGTCCGACGGTGCTACACTCGGTCATCTACGCCTGCAAGACCGATCATCACTGACGCCGACTCCATACATTGTCTTCCTCGTGCCCCGACAGCATGTCTGAAGCGTACGGTATGGCCGTGCGCGAGAAGATTGAGAGATCACCACCTTCGTTCCCTCACGCCGTGTCACCGATTCGTTCCCGCTCGTCGCCAAAATCAACCAACGCTCCGCGGAAACCTTCTCTTCACTCACACCGGCGCACACAGGCCATTGGCCGCAGCGGACAGAACCACGCCGGCAAGGAAGCACGCAAGGTGTCGACCGTCACCAAGCAGTCAACGTCGAGGTCTAGGAAGAGCTGGTCACCTCGTTCTCGAGCCAGGCGATCGACGTCGCCCAGCCAGCGCCGCTCCATCGACAGGTCCCTCTCGCCCGAGCCCAAGGTGCGCGTTCAGGAGATCGTGGTCGGTTTTGGCCTTGAGTCGTGCGTGGCGTGATTCGTGTGTGGGGGATGACGCTGGGGGGTAAAACTGTCCGCCAGGTGGCGGTTGCAGTGTTTTCTGCTGAACTGCTGCTGCTGCTGCTGCTGCTGTTGTCGTTGTCGTTGTCGTTGTTGTTGTTGTTGTTGTTGTTGTTGTTGTCGTCGTCGTCGTCGTGGGAATTACAACGGCGTTTGTCGTCGCCGTGAAGGCAGCTGTGACCCTCGTGTGTACCTCACACCCCCACACCGCTCCACAAGGGCGAAACCATTCACCCTGATGGCGAAAGGCTCTATAAGCATCCAGATGCTCTGCTTGTGCCCACACATGACGAAACCTTTAACTGCTTCGGCCGAAAGTTTTTTTTTTGCTTTCCGCGCGGCTCGTACACATGTGCTCGCTTGCTCACTCACTCTCTGTCTCTCTCTCAGTCTATCTGTCTCTCTGTCTGTCTCTGTCTCTGTCTCTGTCTCTGTCTCTGTCTCTGTCTCTCCCTCCCTCTCCCTCTGTTGACTTTTGCTCTATAGGGCACGGCAGGAGAGAGGGGCCAGCTGCACCGCGATGAGGACGAAGAGGCCTACGAGGTCAACAAGGGAGGAGGGGAAGAGGGACTCAAGAACGACTCGGAGGAGGAGGAGGAGGTGATCGGCGGTGGACACGAGGGCGAGGAGGAAGGGCAACAGGGTGACCACGTGGACAGGGCGACGCTGCAGGAGGGGTTTATCTTCGCGGAGGCCGGGACGCTGGTGGGACCGGCCGAGTTCATGCCAACGGTAGGTTTTTACCGCTGACGGTGGTTGTATTGTTCTATCAAGCGCTTGTGGAGGTTATTGTACGGCTTGGTGACCAACCTTCTTCCCCGCTATGGAAAGCAGCGTGCTTTCCCAGGCATGCTTGTTTCAATCGCTTCCCGGCCTTTGATGCCAACCGCTCCACCTCACCACTGCGTTGCTTGCACTAGGACATGGGCCTGGCGACGGAGGGCAACGCGACGGCCGAGATAGAAGGCGAGCAGGACGCCGCTGACGGAGCCTCGTCTGCCTTGACGGCGGCGTCGGTGGTGGCTCGCAGTTCCTCCAAGACCCACCAGCTGCTGCTGCTGCCACCCGCACCGCCGAGGGTGCGGATGCCGGTGCCGACCGCCCGTTGCCTGCGCATGCTTCTCAGCGTGCTGAAGCACAACCCGGCGGGGGCGGTTCAGGAGGTCGGCGTGCTGCTCATGCTGCACGCCGCGGCCATCGAGGTGGCGAAGCCGACCCCTGCATCTGCCGACGGGGCCGCTGACCACCCCAACGAGACCCCGTCCGCACTGGTCCCTGCCAAGGGTGGTGTCGGTGCCGGGACGGCGAGGGCGAGGCACCAGACGCGTGTCAAGCAGCGCGAAGAGAGCGCGAAGCTCAAGCGGAGGGTCGACGAGGCGGCCGCCGTGCTGGCCATCGCGCTCACCGCCGCGAAGACGAGCGGCATGCGGACACCGCGGGGTGCGGGCGTAGCAGTCATCGCCAAGAAGAAGGGCGGCCGCAAGACACGCTTCCGGCACCAGCTCCGGCAGCCTCCGAACGTCGAGGATGGCCTCCAGGTGTGGGCCGCGACGCGAGGCCGGGAGGTGTTCGGGTTGAGGGAACTCCTCGGCCTGTCGGAGGGGGAGCCGCCGGTCGTCCAGCCGTCGCCGTCGCATGCTCAGCTAGTGCGCGACCGCGTCGCCCGCATCTCCGCCAGGAAGGTGGAAAAGGTGAGAACGAGCCCATTATTGCTCCGCCGAGTACACGAAGTTCAGCCGCAACGCGAAGAGACACCCTCTTTTCGACAATGCCACCATTTGTGCGTGTCCAGTAACGGTGAAGCACCTTAAACCTTGATTGAGCCGTGAGTGGAATGTGACTCCTTTGAAACGCCCCAAATAAATCCGCTCGATACGGCGAGAGAGTAAAATAAAACTAACTGTTTTTAAAGAGTTGTAAGTTTTAATCTGTTCCGGATGTGCATGGTCCGTCCTCTTTACCGTCCAACCAACACAGGCCCTGCCGGAAGCTGGCCATGTTTTGGAGTTCATCTCCTACGCTGTGGGCGCCGTCGTTGGGGTGATTACCACCGCTGGCGATTCGAATGATGCAGACGCACTGGTCGATCTCGACAGGTAAGCTGGGTTTTTGTGCAGCGGCTGGGGGGAGGGGAGGGTACTTGTGAAGCTGTACTACTACACTATCTTGTTTCGACTTGAAAGGGGTCCACAGAGACACTATAGCTTGTTCCCGCTTGGATGGTGTCTACAGGGGCTACAGCGAAAACAAGCATGGCCAGCGCCATTGGCAAGGAAAGATCTGGCGGTCACATACTTGAAATTAGTTCACCGAGTCGGGGTTTGACATCGAGACGAGCTACACTCACGCATCGCGCGGCGAACGTCGTTTTTTCAACGATTCCGAAATCCCCCCTCTCGCCCGCTCGCGACCCTCACTATGCGCACCGCGACCGACCAGGCCCTCCACTGCCGGTGGCGGCAACCTCTTGACCGGCGGCAAGGGCGAGTCCTCCGTGGCAGGCGCATCTCTAAGCGCATCTTCGAGCGACCCTAAGATCTGGGCGTCGACGACCTCGGGCTCGGACGCCGTCGTCGCTGCCGGCGACCTCGCGAACGGCGGCGGTAGGGACGGGTCCCCGGCGGCTGGTGCATCTCTCAGCGCGTCTTCAAGCGACCCTACGATCTGGGCGTCGACGACCTCAGACTCGGAGGATTCCGCCGCCGCCAGTGCCGGCAGCATCGAGGGCGATGATAAGGATGGGTCCCCGGCGGCAGGTGCATCTCTCAGTGCGTCTTCGAGCGACCCTAAGATCTGGGAGTCGACGACCTCGGACTCGGAGGACGCCGCCGCCGCCAGTGCCGGCAGCATCGAGGGCGATGATAAGGATGGGTCCCCGGCGGCACGTGCATCTCTCAGTGCGTCTTCGAGCGACCCTAAGATCTGGGAGTCGACGACCTCGGGCTCGGAGCAGTGCGCCGACTTCGCGCCAGGATCCCTCTCTGCCGAAGACCCTGTCGCCTGGAAGCCATCGATGTCAGGCCCCGCGCAGTGCGTTGAGGGTTCACCCCGCAGCCTTGCCAGCCATGACACCGCCGCTGAAATCGGCTCGACCCAGGGTTCATGCACCACCTCAGCTACCTGTGGGGGCGGTGACGGCGGTGCTGCTCTTACTGCGCCGGAGGCACCGGCCTTCGACTTGGAGCGGGATGTCACGGACAGCTGCTTGGGCCTCCGGGGGAAACACGACGCAGATTCCTCACCTCTGGTCAGCCCGTCTCCAAGCCGCGACGATGCCGCCGTAGCCGCCGCCGGTGCCTGCGCAGGAGGTGCGCTGGTTTCGGTGCCGGGGGAGACACCTTCCTTGGTTGTTTCTTCCTTCTCCGATGACGCGGTGGCTGCTGCCGCGACGCGGGAGGCGTCCAGTGGTTCGAGGAAGCTCGCAGCCCCGCGCCAGCCGCTTTTTACCCTTGCCGAAAGTGACGACGAGGATTTCCCTAGCTCTGCTTCTTCGGGCACCCAGGTCGTGGTCGTCTGGAAGAGACCGAAGTCCCACGACGACTATTTCCAGCAACAGAAGCCTCGCACCAGTGCCAGCGGAGCTGGTGCTGCTGATGCTCTTGCTGCAGCAGAAGACTCGCAGAACGGGGAGATGTGGACCGTGGACCCCCTCGGGGATATCATGGGTGACATACCGTGAGTACATCGGACTTGCGTTGGGCACATTCTGTCTCTCGCTAGCTTGAGATCTGATGACTTCGCTCCTCGAGATATTTTGTGTATCTTGCGTTTGCATCATGTCTGAGCAATGGCTGGCACCTTGCCACGCTCGTTTCATAATCTAATTTTACTTTGTGATCCCCCACCGCCCACCACCCCCGCCCTTCCGCGTTCCTTGCCGTCCCGCCGTATTCTGCGCTCGGTGCGGTGTGTCAACCAACCTACAATCGCGTGTACGGCGACGGCGACAACCACCCGACGGCACGAATCAATCACCGGCAACCTGGCAACCCCTCAAACAAGGTTGGTGACGGAGGACGGCGAGCGCAACGCCTGGGACGATATCCTCGAGGAGCAACTGTCCAAGTGCAGGCCCCTGCAGGACCGCGCCGACCGTTCCCCAGCCTCGCCGTTGATCAACCAGAGGTTCTACTCTGACAGAGGCAACGGCGGCGGCCCGATCACCACCACCGCGGGAGACGGGTCGGCAGCCTACACACACGATGGTGAGGAGCACGTGGTTGTAGGGAGGGAGAATGAGAACTCAGGCCGGCCGGCTGGTCTGCGTGCGAGTGTTCGAGACGAAGCGGGGGATGAGGAACAAGAGGGCATGATGCTCGGTGGCTACATCGGAGACGATGATGATGCGGCCTCTGTCTTTTCCCGGTACTCCTCTTTTTCTTCGCTAGGATACGGGTTGAAGAGCGACCACAACAGCATCGACGTCGATGCTTGCTCTTGGCTGGTGGGTGGTGTACCGACGCCGGAGCAGCTGCAGCAGCGGCAGCAGCAGCAGCAGCAGCAGCAGCAGCAGCAGCAGCAGCAGCAGCAGCAGCAGCAGCAGCAGCAGCCGAGGCAGCCGAGGCAGTCGAAGCCGATGTCGTGGTCGCTGGCTTCTCACTACGCTCGTTTCCTGGACACGGCGTGCCGGTCTATGCGCGGCAGCCTACAGGACGAAGACCTCGGAGACTCAGAGGCGGCCGTGCGCAAAGTGGTGGGCGTCGCAGAACTGGCAGCGTTCGAGGCACGACAGGCGGTGGCGACGGCTGTAGACCTGCTAGACAAGCACCGAGCGCAGCAGGAGTCTCGCAGTTTCGCCAGCAGCAGCAGCAGCAGCAACCCGCAACAACCGCCGCCATTGGTATCAGCATCCTCCGACATCGACCCGTCCTCCCAGCTGCACGGGCGAGAGAGCCAGACTTGGGAGAACAACTACGGCTACCGCAGGTGGGAGGAGCCCGACCCGACCAACACCAGCTTCATCCCGGAGGCTCCACAGCAACGGTCGACGCCGCCCGGCGGCACCTTTCGACCTCTCGAGCTTAGTCCATCGGGTGCCCCCGTCACCGGTGGCAGGGTTAGGGCGATGCTCAACGCCCGCGTCGCGAGTCGTTCGCAGGACGGCGACTTGTCGGGTGTGCTGGAGCAGCGGGGGTTGGACTACGGGGCGCAGGGGCACGACGCTGTGGGAGAGAACGGTGTGGCTTGTTATTGCTTTTCTTTCTTTCAGTGTTTTGCGCACGTATAATCTTCTCTTGGCCGAGAAAGAATTATTCCGGGTGGTTCAATCTTAGAAGTATCAGATAATCGAATCACGATTGAAGTTTGAGTTTAAAGATCGAAGTGTGGGATCATTTGGGTTGTGCCTATCTTCACCCAATCAAATAAACATGCTCGATGACTGTCCTGGTTTTGAAACATTTTCTGAAAAAGTTTCAGCATTTAGTCTAGCTTCTTTTCAAGAAGACAATACCCTACGGTATTCAAATAAATTCCCAGTGTCTGAAACCACGATACACATATACCGCTTCGGGCGGAACTTTCCTCTACAATCGTGGTGCATTGGTGGCGCAGTTCTACTCACCGTCTTCCATTCTGGACGAGTTCACTAACCCACGACTTCCCCGTAAACCGCATTCCGCAGGATTCAAGGGTGGCTCGCCGACCGGAGGGTACGACGACCCGAACATCTACTGGGCCGAAGTAACCGCGGGAGCAACGAGGGAGGTCGCCGCTGAGGCTGCCGAGCGAGCCGCCTCCGCGGCAGAAGCGTACGAGCAGAGGATGAGAACCGGGCGCGGCGGCCATGCTTCCGGCGAGTGGCTGGAGGCGAGATCGTCGGCGATTGCGGCGGGATCGATCGCGAGGGTGGCGGCGGCCACGGCCGCGCGGGCCGCCCAGTTGAAAGCAGCATCGGCGCCAGCAGCAGCACAGCAGGGTGGTGGTGGTGGTGGTGGTGGCCACCACCACCGCCTGCACTTGCCGCAGCGTGAAGAAGACCGGTGGGAACAAGCATCGGATCGACGACCGTGCCGTGACGAACCCGACGGTAACGACGACACCGAGCAGGGGAACGCCATGCCGTCGCTAAGCGCCTTCTACACGGTCGACGTCAACGTCGCCGACTGGGACTGGTCGTCGGTCGGAGGTGATAAACGGATGTCCGACGTCGGACGAAGCGCAGGCGTCTTGGAGGGTGGGGGACGAGAAACGGGATGCGGTCCCGAGTCTCTCGGAGAGAGCTCGACAAAGAGAGCGACGGGTTTCGGTATGGCCACAACCCTTCGGTGAGAGGCGATGTGTTTCGGTGTCGTCGGTGTGATTTTGTCTTCAGCCAATCAAAGCGCTGAAGGATAATAGACGCGCGAAAAACGCTATGTGCCGAGCCTTGATCCCTACAAGGCTGCTTAAAGGGTGTTCGTCGTTGCATTGCCCGAGATTATGTAAAACTACAACAGCGGAAACCACGTCTATCAACCGAACGTGTTATTGACTTCACGTTTGCAATGTACCGCTTCTCCCACTCGAAACACGTCAGGTGCGGCAAGGCGTGGGGTTCGATTGCGTGCGAGTCCAACCTCTCCGTCCAGCGGCACGTGGAGAAGAGGAAGGGACACATGGGCGGATCCCTGGCCCAGCTGTGCGAAAAAAACGAGCTCAAGAAGAGGAGAAGGGAGCAAAGACGCCGCCAGCCGGAGGTGGAGGGTGAGTACAGCTTGGGTCGGCAGCTACCACAACCAACATGCAGAACAGCCGTCTCAGCACAAAGACTAGCGTAGAAACAGAATTTTAATGGAAGATATCAGCCTGGTCTGGCCGATAGGACAAGACTCATCCAAGTATGAACAGGAGGAATCGATGACCCAAGATTAATAGACGCAAGGTACTTGAGGTCCAGGCGTGGTTGATCTTACATAGGTGGAGCAGGGTCGCATCCGTGAGCAGTCCTACCCCACACACATTCTCTCAAGGACCAGATATGGGACAAGTCATCGGAGCTTCGGTCACACGCGCTTAGCAGCCTTCCGCCTGTTCCCCACGCCCCTCTTGCGCGAAAACAGACGACATGAGGCTTAAGCTCGAGGATCGACAGCGGAATGGGGCCCTCCATCCCCGCGCGGGCCTGGTGGGCGACGGCTGGGAGTACCCCAGCACCACGTGGTCCTCCTCGGCATCATCATCATCGTCATCGCTGACGCCGCCGTCGCTGTCGGCATCATCGCTGTCGGCGCACCCTTCGTTCTCCTCTTCGTCGTCAAGGTCGACGACGTCGAAGTGGTCGTGCCAGCTAACCAACAGACAGCACCGGCACCAGCAGGAGGAGGAGGAGGAGGAGGAGGAGGAGGAGGAGGAGGAGGAGGAGGAGAAGGAGGAGAAGAAAGGCAGGGAGACGAACGGGCGCTCGCTGCTGGGAGGGGCGGGAAGCGCCTTGTCGGCCGCCGGTACCGAGTCAGTCCAGACTCCCCCGATCACGCCCCACGCCTTGGCGCCGTCGTCGTACCGGCTGAGCGACCAGCACGCTGAGATGACGCGGCTCTGGCCGACAGCACTCCTCGTCGCCTCCAAGTCCCTCATCGCGGACGTTCCAGGGTGGGTGGTGGTGGTGGGTGGTGGTTGCAGTTTTAGAGTGTTGTTCCTCAGTTCCTCCCGCATTTTGTGGCCGCGTTCTTAACGGTGGCATGTAACTCACTACCGTGAACCCTCTCCTTTCTTGGTGATGCCAACAATACGGCACATGAAACATATTGCTGACTGCCGTCTTCAACATTCCAGGCCCCGTTTCTACGCAACTGCGGTTGTCGCGATGCCTACCTCCCCGTCCCTTGGTGGAGATGTCGGTGGACGTATTTCTCGTTGGGATAAGGGGGAGGGTCCCATCTTTGGAGAATGAGCTAGAAGGTGTCAATCGTTATTCTTACCTGTTTCCGCCCTAACCTGATCCTCACCCAGGCTGGAGGAGCACGGGCGACGGTCGTTCAAAGAGGCCCTCGAGCAGTCAGTTCGTCGGGGGGTGATGGGCCGCCCCCGCTCGCCCGAGACACGACGCTAGACATGGGGTTCGCGCCCTGCTGGACGGGTGACGAGTTGGTGGGCGGGGTTTCTCCTCGCTCGATCAACACGCAGACCGCCAAGGCATCCCATGACGAGGATTCAAGTACGGGCGGCGCACAGTAGTCCTTGTTGGGAGCTGCGATGCAACCCGGCTGTGGTCTGCGGTGATTTTTCTTTTTTGGGCGGAAAGGTGGAGGTTTGGTCGGGGTTAACACACGCGTGCTACGCGAGAAGGAGTGAGAGCGGCGTTCTCGTCTTTGAGTCCAGCCCCCACGACTACCGGGCTCACCATGCCACGCCGGAGTGTGTCTTTTCTTTCCCCTTTCCTGGGGTTGGCGTGGGATACGCTGCGCGGGACATTTCCATTTGTAATATGAGTAGTTTCGGGGAGGGTGGGGCACTAGGGAGTGCAGACTGGGCAGTTATCATAGGGACTTTGCCGAAGGTTAAGAGGGGCACGGCAGTACCGTCGGGCGAAACAGCTGATGTGCCGGAAGCCGACCGGGTAGCGATAGCAGTGGTAAACGGGGAGGAGGAGCAGGAGGAGGGTTGTGGAAGGGTTGAAAGGTAACGGGGCGTGCAGAAGGTCGGAGATATGGTGTGAGCGATGGCAGATGCGGCGAAGCCGGCTGGCGTGCCGGCTGCCGGCAGGGTGGCGGAGGCGGATGAGGAACAGGGGGAGACTTGTGGAGGCGGCGGGGAGGCGGGGGGCAAAGACAACGTGATCGTTGTTCAGAATCGCCGCACGGGGGCCGGCGGATGGGACGGATACAGGTGAGTGACGGCGTTTTTTTTTTGACAAGAACATCCTTCGTGGTGAAATACACAGCGAGACATGGCATGGTGTGAACACGATAAGATGAACGAGCACACGGGTTATTATTTATCAGAACATCGAAACGGATCGCCGCCAGTTGACCGAACGAGCACGGAGAACAACCCACCTTCCACGAACCCGGCGCGAGCAAACATAAAAGGGCGTTTGTGCGCTGGCCTTTATTTTCGCCCCCTATCTGGTGAGAATGTTGCTCTTTCCACTCCACGCAATGCTCCTCCACATATCATAGGTTTCTCCTCCAGCGTCCCCCCCCCCCAACGTTGCTCTTTCCAACACGTAGCTGTCACGTCCCGGTCCGAAAAACACTTACGCAAAGACAGCCCCCACGTTCTTTCATTGATACAATTCTCATGCCTAATAGTGTTACCATTCGTGGAGCGACCTCAATCACCCTAATTGCACCTCTATCTTTTCGCCCCCCCCCGCTTTTCTTCCCACAGGGTGAGTTGCGACCTCGCGAAAAATATGCAAAGACATGGACGAACGAGGCTTCGCCCCTCGGAGCACGTCGTCATGGTGGAGGAGACGAACATCAGCGAGCAGCTATTTAGGTGGGGAAGAACAAGCCAGGGAGGGCTTGGACCGGCCTTCGTTCACAACGCCCACACCAGCAGAAGAACTTCAAGCATGCCTGCAAGACCAATAGCGGCTAGAGCTTACTATGAAGGGACTCAGCATGCGTGTCGGCACAAGGTATGGGGAACTATAGTTCGCTCTCTACCCGTGTGTGCATCGCAACGGAGGATGCTGAGAAGTTTGGGCGTGGTAGCCACGGTGATATTGATGATGACCTTTGCCTATCTACATGGTCGTTACACCCATTCCAAGGCGTGACCACATGCATTTGGTAGAGGAAACAGGGATCCAAGCTGTGTTACAAGTAATCACAGCGGAGGTGACAGCATCCAATGGTTGCGTATTTCCGGCACCCCGCACCGTTGAGAACGTTTTGGCGTGTACGAGAGCCGTGAAAGGATGCGAGCGGTGATCTGGCCAACGCACTTCGAAATCCGCCACATACTGATGATAACCCCTGAAAAAATCCGAAGTATCAACTACTAAGTGATACCAAATGTGGCACAACCGAGCCTTGCTCGGAACAACTCATGGGATGGCGGAAAGATGACACGGGCATCCCCCGAACACGAACCATCGGAACGAATGACCGTTTCACACGACCACTCTTGTACGGCGATGCAACACGCGATCATTTACGCTACACAAGGATGGACCAATCACTGCTGGCCAACTCCGTGTGCTTCTCTTCACCCTCCCCCCCGACAGCACTGCGTGTCAGAAGCCTACGTTCTACGACCAGGCACGTGAAGCTCGAGTGCTCTCCGCCTTCGTCTCCTCACGCCAAGTCGCCTTACTCGTCCCCGCCTGCCCTCACCTCGTCGCCACCAAATAAACAATTCGCGAAACCTTCGCTTCGCATTTTCCGACGTAAAACAGATGATGGGCAGCAACGACGACGCCCGCGAGGACGAAGGCGGGACGCCGACACCCTCCAAGCTGTTAAACCTCTCATGGTCCGTAATGCGTAAATTTACCCTCGGATTGGACTGATTAGGGCATCTTCCTGTCCCTTGATGTGACCTTGCGAACTAGCTTTCTGTAGCCTCCAATACCTATTGTCATGCCAAGCCCAGGGCTCTCTCCCACGGCCGTAGAGTGCTCCATCCCAACCATTAGCATTGCGTCTGGCGGCCACACCCGGTTCCTAATGCCAGTTGAACCAAATTGTACTCCCATTTCCCTCCCATCCCCCCTCTTGGCGGTATTTCTTTCGCTCCCAAAAGGTGTTCGAGGTGGCAGCGCCCGACGACTTCGTGCGGAACTACGCGTACGGCCTTTCGGCGATCAAACCTGATTTGCGGGTAATATGTGTTCGTGGTTTGTGCTGGCAACGCTTCCATTATTGGAGTGCTTGCACATGAACATGTCCAGATTTTTTCCGAGGTCGTACTTTCCATGCGGGGACCACACGCGTTGTTTCGTCTTCTCGAAGTGCGCGGTAGCTTGGTACGGAGAGGTATGTCCACATCATCGTGCCGATTCACCATGTGCTCTGCTTCCGTGGCTCATTCTCTCTCCCCCCCTCACCGCGCGTACGTGCTTTACAACAGCCGGACGCGCATTTTGAAATCGTCTGCACCGCGCCCTCCCTGCTTTCGCGGCTCCCACAACGGACACCCAGCGTTTTTCGCTAACGATGGAACCTCTTGCGTGTCGGTTCCATTTTCGGCTTTCCGGTGAGTTTGGGGGGAAGTCTCAGAAGCTGCACATTGCACTCAAGCAGTGTTGGTTAGAAGCCTCTGCCTGCCTCTTGGGCATGTGCCATATATCAGTCGATTCAATGCTGTGCATACCTAATGTTTCTCGCTGCTGGTGCTACTTCTACTTCCAATTTCTCATATACGATCAGCAGGTTGGCGCGGGTCCGTTTTTTTGTTCTTTACGCCCCCTTCGCTACGTCACCCCCGATGCTACGACCCCCCTCTCCCCCTGAATGTCGCGTTTCGTGATGCAGTTCATCGAGAAGATGGGAAGGTAGTTCAGATTCATCGCATTGTGGGCCGCTGGGATTACCCTGCAAGACTCGAAGGTCCGTGTGCCTGGCGATGACAACATCAAGCACGTGAGAGTCGAAACTCGCGGCGCTGTCTGTGTATCGAGCATTCAGCAATGGAGATGAGGATGTCCGAAAATTCAGTGCCCTCCTGTGGCGGCAATAGGGGTGAAATTGCTTCAACATGCATGTATCGGTTGTTCAACATGAAGGACCTGCTTTGACTCCCCCCATTCCTCTCGGCGTTTTCCCGTCCTGACCCCCGTTTCTCCTGGACATAGGCCCCTCGAATGGTTTTTTGCCCCGCCGGATGTCCCTGAGCGATTCTTAACCGGCCAGCGAGCCTCGCGGTCTCCCCATGGCCAAGCTGGTCCTGCATCTTCTCCGTTACGGCACTGTGTACCGCGATAGGCGGCTTCCGGCTGTTTCTTACCCTCACCAACCGCGTGGCACTGCCACCCAACCTTGACGAGAAGGCTTTGTCTTCGGGGGGTCCAATGCCTGTTCGACAAGGAGAACGGGACAAGGCATACCCGCACCTTTAGATAGTTGTTGATTTCTTTCGGCTGAGGTAGCACTAGGAAAAGGTTTGGTGAGATCTTTGCCACTCCCTCTGGACAATGCATCGCAGGCGGGTGAACCCGATGGCGAACTATGCCTCGTTTTCTGGGCGAACCACTGAACCGATGTGCCACCTCCTTTTTGCCTCCCTTATTCTTCGCACTCGGGTTCATTTCGTTGCCCGTCTCTGAGAGATATGAATGTCCTTGTTCTTCTTCCAGTAGTTTGGCACTCGAAGGTTGAGGGCAGGACCGGATCATCCGACCCCGCCCTGCTACTTATGGAAGATAAATGTATTGTACGATGAAAGGAAAAATCACTGCTGTCAAGTCGCCAAAATTGTTGTTTCTCATGGGTACGTTTCACTGGTTGACCCTTCCACATATGTGGAACAGAGACTTGTACCTTACTCTGTCCTTGCTGCCTATCCTAGAATAAGCGTCCATTCAATGCAACGAAAAGAACAGTACTGGTGGATAATTTTTCGTGTCATCCGCGTGGGGCGTGAGTTGTGTGTCAGACCAATCGGGTAAACTATGCTTAGTTTTCAGTTCCTCGGTTCGGGTTTAAGAGGTTGCGGCGACAGGAACATTTCAGTTCCAGCTTGTACCTCGCATTGATTCTTGGCACTCAAGGTGTGTGGTGGGGGCGTGTCCGCCCGCTCTCTTCCCTGGTTAATGATGTATTTTGTGCCAAAACGCAGAGGGGGTCATGTGTTGCTTGCGGGCATTGGTGTAGAAGAGGTACCCGTTAGTACATGTTCTGCCAGCGTTGGCGATGTTGTTGCAGCTTGTCCCCTCGGCGGACAGTGTAAGAAGAACGGCGGCATCGGAGCTGTCGCGAAACGCATTCCACGAACCCTTTCGTTCCCAAAACAAAACTGGGTACGAATCGAAAATTGACAACTTTTTATTGAAGCGGCACTTAAAATGACCATATACTCACTGGGAGTCACCACAGCTGGAAAGTGTTGTGTACCTGGTTGCAAGGAGATCTAGTTGCCTCCACCATCTGTGCTCGTCTACAACCTGTGCTCGGTGACACAGTGGCTAGCTCCTCATGGCGCCGATATTTCTTCTGCGGGCTTCTGCTTGTTCAACCCCGCACAAGTAAAACTATCAATCGTTCTTAGTATCATTTGCGATGCCACGGAAGCCCATGGGATATGGCACGAAATGCCATGGGGCCCCACGGTATATGTAATATGTATCCAACTTACCGGGGCCAATCAAATTAGTTTCGATAGAATCCAGTCGATCGAGCATGTTGTCGCCGAAGAAACAATTTGCGCCAAGAGAAAGAGGTGAAGAAAACGGGAACAAGCACAAGCATTCATGTAGTCAAGGAGCAATATCTGCGAGTACATTTTACTGTGTCGAGCTCATGCTACCCCGAACGACTGTACAAAGATACACACACACACACTCAGATCGTATGGTCCGATAGGTTGTTCGTCGCTCGGACAGAATATTTTCGCTCTTGCTCGCCTTCAATCGGAAACCTAAAATGTTCGTTCGTGGGGAACAAACAACTATTTGCATAGCTGCCGATGGGTTGAACAGTTATTCTCGTTCCGCCCACCCGGTACGATCGCGCATTGATCAGTATATCGCGCGCGGTGTCCTGGAGCACCTCGGACGGCGCAGAATGGTACAGGGAGTTTGGCTTACGTTTTGCCGTGGGGTCGGGGGTGACGGGCGGCTTCCCCCTTCACGTGCGGTGGAGGGAAATTCATTCATTCTTGTTGATACTGTGGTAGAGCAGATCTCACGAACAGTAGGGAGCCATGGGGTTGGTTCCACAAAACACACGTACGTACGTGTTCGACCCGTAGTTATCGATTGTGAAGCCTCGAACAAGTTTCCACCCAGCCATGAAAGATAATTCAGCCTTGTCCAAGCTCACCGTCGTTCCGCAGCATCTTGAATAAGCTGCTAAAATGCACCCCACAAAAGATTGCGGAATGCTGCTCTGCTGTAGATCGTTCATAATTTCAAAGAAAGGAGGTTGCAAGGGCCACCACGTGTTGCCGCGGATCTTGCGTCATTTCACTCATGGCCAGCGTTCGCTCAACGCATGCCTTCCCTGTAAAGGTAATCACATTGAGGAGATGCATATTGTTCGCCTTTTGGCATCACGTTTGGAGATTTCATCTTTGGTATAGTACGTACGTGTGCTCGGATGATGGTCGTTGTGAACGCCGTGATTACTGTTGTTCAGATGGTGCGTTTTTTCCCTTCGAATGGAAGTCGTGGCTGCTCTGGCAGCAACGTCCACGGCAGTTCGTGCGGCTGCACGACCTCTGTTGCACCTCGGAAGATACCACGGGTGCGTCTATGTTCTCCAAACCCTCGAACACGAGTCAGAGTTAATCAGCCCCTTGGAGTCGACGCATGCTTCATCATAACAACAACGCATTTTCGAATGGGTTTGAATTGGTGGGTTTTCGTATGTGCAAGTATTCTCATCATATGGATACATGAATAATATTTTCCCTCGATTCACCGGTGAAATCGGTGTAGCACGCGCGTTTGCCTAGCACTAGCTGTTGGACTGATATCCCCCCATTTTGGCTAGCTCTTGATGCTTCGTTGGTCCCAAGAATCGGCTTCTGGCTTTTCTTGTTTCACTCTGTGCGAGTCGTCGGTGTAGCACGCGTCTGATTAGTAGCTGTTGTTGCGGTGAAGCCCCCCTTGTTTGGGCCTGTTTTGTACACCCCTAGAACTAGTTGATGATGGCTTCTGGCTTCCGTGTATGTATGCATTATGAATGTATGTACATGTCGGTCCACAGGTGGGTCGGGCGTGCTCTGCGTTGTTCGTCCCAAGAATCGGCTTGCAGTTTCCATGTAACGTAGGTTTTTGTCCACAGATGGATGGGTCGTACGGGCTCGAGAATTGTGTGTCGATGAGTTTATTACGGAAACATTTTGGAACACATGCATATCCCAAAGACTAGTCGCTGGAAAAACGAGGCATTCGTGGTGTGCGTGGACTGTGGGTCGCGCCAAGTGATCAACGTGTACGTACGTACGTGACCAAGGGGCACACACACGGACTCGACCCCTCAAAGTACCAAACAACGTATTTTCCTCTCACACCTCGCACACCTCGCACACCTCGCACACATCAACTTCATGCGGTACATGCCGCACTCAGTCAAACAGAATTAATTTCTGATGCAAAAATGAGCTGCTTTCTCCCCTTCTCTTGTTCTCGGATTTTTCAGGAAGAATGGAGATTGAATGGTTGTTGTGTGTGAGTAAGGTGGTTGCTACAAGTATAATAAGGAGCGATCGACGTCCAGAGAATAATAAATGGAAGGGATGAGAAACTACACGTAGCGAGCGGGTGCCGCTGTTGGGGTGTAGATCTCGAGGCTCTAACCTGTTGGGATGTAACCTTATGATAGGTGTATCCCTGGATGTGGCACAGTGTGCAGAGGCTTGGAATAGTGGCGCTTATGTGGCCGAAAAGTAAGGAAGAGAAGAAGAGGAGTCCTGGGACTCGCAAGAGTCCCGAAGGACTTGGAAGAGGGCAAGGGCCTTGGAAGAAGAGAGAAAGGAAGGAGAGTGATCGAGAGGGGGCGAGCACCACAGGGGGCGAGCCTCCAAGCTATCACGGAAAGATGCACACATATGGACTATTGCAACGTACCGGTCACGGTAACAGTCGGTTAATCCGACCTATAGAACCAATCCAAGAATATCCTACTGGACAATGGTCCGATGTACCATACTCCTATGGTTCAACATATACCCGTAGGTGTGTATAATCTACCGAAGACTATTATTCCGGTAATACTCCTCAGGTGCATACCTACGTGCTGTGTTACATTGAGTTTTCTAACAGCCGCGACTATGCGTGGAGTCGAAGACTTTATGTACACGGACGGATAGTGCTGATGGAAGGTAGCTATGCAGGACGGGGGTAAACACCGGGGCTTTTTTGTTGTTTGGATTTATTTTTGTTTCGTGCCCCACCTTCCTCCTGCGGTGCGTGCTGAATTTGTATTTTTTGCCGTACATCTTGGGGATGTAGGCTTGTGGGTGTTGACGACCCGTATCGGCTCTCGAAGAGG